CCCACAGTTAACGTCGGCGCATCACGAAAGGATGTGCGGCAGAAATGTGCATTTCCAGCGCAAGTGATCGTTTCCAGGCAGCAGCTTTCTAGTAATATCTTTTGCATGATATTCAAATTTAAGCAGACGCTGATTCATTTTACCAAGTAGCATCAAGGCACTAATGCTTTGTTTGATTCATTTAGCAGTGATGGACCGAAAGACTCCATTGCTCGATGATCCATACTGGAGCTGGTTTATTTTACGAAGTTGGGCAGAATACACCTTCACTTTGCTTCCTTTCATCTAATTGGACGAATACGGCAACGACTGATTGACTTTTCAAAGCTTGAAAACTGGTCGCCTCCAGCGACGCACCGAAAATTCGGCAGATTTTGACTTCACATTTAAAATGAATGTCACAAAGTAGGTTGAGACGCGAGGACAAAGGAAGACTTCAGTGGAACGTGGATATTGCAGCCAGCGTACACGCATTGTTTGTCCTGGATATGCAGTGCTACGTGCACTTTACCTAAAGAGATCTAGAAGCATTGCACCTGTACCACTAGCGCGTATAGAGGAGACCCTCACTGCACATGACTACACAAATCGATTTTTAGTTCTGTTGCCAATGCATGGCACCCTTTGTTACGGTGTTGCCTGGTGCCACCCTGCAGCAACTCACGTTGCCGCAACACCATGCAACATCATGCACGCTCACAGAGGCATATGCCGCGATGTCATCGGTGTATACTTGGCATGCCACAGTCTGGCAACGTCAGAAATACTACTGATTTGTTGTGTTCCTGAAAGGACCTTACTTTATTCTTGCCTCTCCCTCGTGGTGTTTGACCTGGTTGACTCTCTTCTAAAGCTTGAGACTCCTGGGATTCTTCAGGCTCTTCCAAATCGGGAGGCGTGCCGCCCGCCCCACATACGTGCTTCCAAAGAGCATATAAATTTATATACAACGTGCTTACTTAAGAAATAACTTCGTATATCTTCACTGTTTAACGCCGGATTGCTGCAACAACCAGGAGGCGTCCCGGCGCTTCTGCAATGGAGCAGCGTAATTAACCAGGTTTGCTCAAAGCAAGTGTCCGCAGTCTGATTACTGAATAATTTGCCATCTCTCATTTTACGGCTGAAAATATTGATCATAACCCAAAAAGACATTTGTGGGTTTAGTGAGCAGGTCTGCCAACGGAACTCTGCTGGGTATCTTGATGAATGGTCATTATGATTCGCGAAACCAACATTTACACTATTCCGTTTTTGTTGCTGCCTGCTCATACAAGTGCACAAGCACCTAAACACACTATATATGCAAGGGTAGCTGGGCGAAGAAAGACCAGCACAAGATGAAAGGCTGCTCGCATGGAAAAGTGCTCGCAGGAACGATGCGCATTGTAGCTCTCTAATGGCCTTGTGTAGCCTGTCAGCAAAGTGTCTTGCATGTCCCAAGCAGTGCCGTTTGTTTGTGTTCTCTGTTACAACCCTCGGGACCTGTGACTGCTATTTTTGCTGATGGTTTAAAGAATTACATGAAATCTTCGAAGGCTGCAACACATTTACAGTCAACCAAAATCTCTCTTTTTGTCAGCAGATTCGCCATTGCACAGAACGTTCTTTCCCTCTCCTATGTGACGGTCACAGGTGCCAACAGCTCACGTAAAAAACCATACACCACCGGGCGCTATTGGGTGCTCTCCTTTACGGGATTACCTAGCACGATCCATGGCGTTTGCCATGTTAGCTGCAGACGAATATTTGAAAATAAGCCTCAGAGCTGTTGCGCTGAGTATGAACTTCCAATGCAACGGCAACGTAATTAACGGCGATATTCTTCTACTGTGTGTATGCATTTGTTCTCCACGTGATTAAACGGTTCCTTTTCGGCGCAACGCTTTCTAAGAAGTGACAGCAGCCTTTATTAGGGCAAAAAGCAAAGATCAGGGAGCGGATGCTACACTGTAGCACATTTAACGCTTGATGCGTCGAACCGTGAAGGGGACGCGGCAAATGTAGTCAAGAGCCCCGCCTTTGGTCCTTGAAATTTACTATCTTACAAAGCTACTATTTTCTTCTTCGCCAGACATTCGACGTCCAAGGGGGCTGCTATTTTTGTTCGTCCAGTGAGCTTTTAGGTATCTGTGGCACTGCATAACCACGTAAGCGAGTGCCACTCCTATGAAGATGATGGCAAGATTGAGGAAAACAGAAAGAGCAAATTGGCGAGGCTTGTTAAAGACAGTCAAAAATTTCCGGTTCTGCACAAATAATTCGCTATGAGAGAGTTGGGCCTCAACCGTAAGAGTGGCTGCCACCCCTGGCTGGAAGAACCCATGTTCTCTAACACCAGCGAGAAAGCAGGTGAAGGATATTAGGAGCCAGAAGTGCATCTTGGAAAACGAAGCGCGAAACACGACAGTGTAGGAAATTAGTTGTCTTCTGATCATGCGTTTCAGTGCATTCTGTAAGCTATACTTCAATGAGCGTGGGGCTCGTTTTCCTGCTGTGGTGTGCTGCGGACCACCAAGAGCTAAGAAGCGCTGACATGCTAGCAGCTGCGCATTCCCGAGTTACTAAAACAGTCAAAACAGTCAACGTTGCTTTAAGCTGAAGTTTTAGTAATCTAGAGTTGTAACACACAGTGAGAAGCGTGGACACCTTGACAATATTAGTCGATACTGTCGAGTTGAGATAGCAGCAGGTCTGCATCCATGAGAACACTATCGAGCTCCAATTCACACGCGCAGCTTCCTGAGTTGTTCGCCAAGATTTGCCGATTGCTGCATATATTTCTGTATTAATTATTTTCTTACCTCTGAATAAATATTATAGATGGGTATGCGCATGCTTCATTCGTGAACCCTCAGCACTGAAACACGTGCAGGAATGCTGCTGACTCGGCGAAGGCCGCAGCGTCCCTACACTTGCTCAAAGCAGCGTGAGTCGGTTGCATGAGCATTAACAAACTCGAATTTCAGTCTTCGGTTGCCTTTAATTAGCCATACCAGCTCATTGGTTTCAGCTGTCTTCTTGAAACGAGGGCTGTAATTTTGACATGCCCTGCCATAGTCGAATGCTGCCTGGAACTCCCTGGTAGAAAGCTTTCGTCTAAAGAAAGCACTTCCAAAGTACTAAACTGAGACGATGATGGGAAGTGTTGAGTGCTAATGGGCAATGTTCAACTTTTTTCGCAGATGTCTGAGTCGAATCACCTCAACTAACAGGATGTGGGCTAAGGAGCAGAATGCAATCTGCAGAGTAACAATATGTTCCGCCCAAAAAGCCCTCAGATGGTATATAGTTCAATACCATAACAATTAATGTTTGACTAAGAAAACTAATCAATTAAAATTAGCATCGTAGTAGGTTGCTTCTTGGATTCATTGCAGCTAGTCCCAGGTTTCTGTGGCTGGCAGAAAACGACCTCTAGAGATTATATGCTGGCAGTAAACAACTTCTAGGACGATTAATGTGTGATTACAAAAACCAAACGGAGAAATTCAGTACAACAGGAGTTTCGTTCTAGGTTTCACTGCAGCTTATCCGCGGCGTTTTTGGCCGGCAGTTTAACGGCTTTTAAAGGTTACTTGGTCCAATACAAGAAGGATATATGCAAGACTACAAAGACTACACAAAGAAGCCTACTTTCATAGCAGGTTGGAGATAGTCTCCACTGCAGCTTATCCCAGGCTTTGTGGAATGCAGTATTGGAGTGGTGGTGCCAATGCGCATACGGACAGCCAGGGAACAGAACAGCAATCTTTCCTTACAAAGGATGAGGCCTTGTTGTTTTTACTTTATGTTTCTCTTCATTTAGTGAGTAGAGGCAGGTGTTTATTTTCGTAATCAGTTATAGAATGTTATGTGAGAGCCAAACTGGGGTCAGCTCGCGCGGTCAGCTCGCCTACCAAAGTAATTGCGCGACTTTTGTCTGCCCGCGCAACGCGCTGGTGACCGGCGCATAGCATTCCACGCACCACAAAATGTTCAGTGTATAAGGACACTCGTGCAACGCAGACGATGGCTGTAGTGCGCAGGCACTACAATAGGACTTGCCCTTAGGAAGATAGCCAGCTGGTGACCTACGAGGTGAACACGCTGAGCGAGGGGAGGAACTATCTACTAGGTAAGGCAATTTATCAGCAAAATAGCATACGTAAAGTAGATATGTCTGTGAATACCCTAAGACTAGGGCTGGCAGAAACACCGGCACCGGTGGGAGCCACCGCCCCACAGGGCCGCCAAGGAAGAAAGAAACCAGAGTGGGGGGGGAACTTTTAAGGTAAATCGATGTCAGAATTTGAGACGATTACTGCTATTATTTTGGTAACTGCTTCATAAAAGATGCGTCGAAGGTAGAAGATTTTTCATAGGGTGCCCTATTCTTGGGCCAGGTAGGAGCGTAGTCACAGCTGAAGGCGCTGTATACTATAATGGCGCTGGTTCTCTAGTAAACCGCAATCTCTGCAGCGATTACGATGCTACCTGGCCCACGACTTGGGCACTCTATGAAATACTCTCTACTATCGACGCATCTCTCAGGAAACAAACACCAAATTATTGAAAAGGCGGTTCTGTTCTGAGTTCTCAAAACCAAATTTCATAAAAGCCGCTCCTCATTGTTTTTGCTTTTTTGCCCGGTAGGAAGGTGATCCGCACGTTGCCAGCATGTCTCCAGTATTAGAGTATTCGTAGACGTTTCTAGTTTATGCACGCCATTTTGCTGATTAAGTGCTCTTTTGTTTTACTAGTAGGACGTTTCCGCGCTCGATAAGCGTCTTCACCTCTTAACCTTTTGTAGGTCACCAGCTAGTTATCCTCTGAAGGTCACCAGCAAGCCCTATTGTAGTGACTGCGCGCTACAACTTCCTTCCTTGCCGTACTGAACCGGCCTACGCCAAGCACATGATTTCTAATGTTTCAGTCTCTGCTCCCTTATGAAGCTAATGTCACCCTTCTGACGCTAATGCCAAGAGCGCATGCGGTGCGCACCGCTACCTTTTCACTCCTCAGGTAAGGCTGCCCGCATTGCGGGCGGCGGAAGCTGACGGAGCCAAATCGCTACGCTTCGGAGCAAGATGTTTTCGAGCCTGAAGACGTCTCCGCTGGCGGCGATGCCAAGCGCAAAGGAATGCCGGGCACCCTGTTAGGTGGTGAGCGGGCTCCCACGTGGCTTGATCTTCGGGAGTACCGCGCCACTTGATGAGATCCTGGGCGTCGGTTCCTGAGCCGCGCTTGTCCATAATATAATCGGCCTCATCCTCCTCTGTTGGACTTGCTGCCGCATCGCAGATAGGGGGCCAGGCGGTATCGGCTCTCTGGGGAACCAAGTTTGGAGGGCGGGGCCGGTGGGGACCTAACTTCAAAGCAAGGAAAACGTTGTGGCATGCATAAGTACGAGGCAAAGCGAGGCTGTAGGCAGCGGTCTGTATACGTTCAATGACTTCAAAGTGTCCGCGGTAACGGGGCTCGAACTTAGGGCAGCTGTTAAAACGCGGTAAGTGCTTGTTACTGAGCCAAACCTTGCCTCCCACTACATACTCCACGGCTCGGCGCTTTGTGTCTGCGTAGTACTTCTGCTGCCATTTTGCCTTCAGCATGTGGCTCTGTGCTCTGTCGCAGAGCTGCCGGCAAAGCTTAGTCATCGGAGGAGTGAGCGTAGCAGCTAACGCGCCTACGATATCAAGGTTCGCAGCAGCCAGCAGATTCTCGTCAATCATGACCTCGAAGGGAGAGAGCTCGGTGGAGGAATGACTTGCTGTGTTGTAAGCAAGTTCCAAGGCCGAAAGCAAACGCTGCCACTCGCGTTCGTCAGATTGGATGTAGGTACGAAGCATCTGCTCGAGTGTGCGGCTAACACGTTCAGTTTGAACGTCGCTTTGAGGATGGTAGGACGAGGACATGCGCCGTTTGATATTAAAGTGGCGACAGAATTGGTGCCATAGATCCGACTGGAAACGGGGGTCGCTGTCCGATATAAGCACTTCTGGAAATCCGTAACAGCGGATAAGACGGTCTGCGAGAAGCTCCACGGTATCTGCTGCTGTGAATGACTTCTTTGCAGGAACGAAATGAGCCATCTTGCTAAGGGAGTCGACCATGACAAGGATCGAGTCGTGCCCTGTCGTTGTAAGGGGAAGATTTGTTATGAAATCGAGGGTCACGTGCGCCCATCGACGAGAAGGGATGAGCAACTGTTGAAGAAGGCCTGCAGGCTTCTGGGTAATGGACTTTGATGCACGACAGTGGGTACATGACTCAATTTAAGCAGTAGTGTAGGCACGCATTTCTGGCCAGTAGTAGTGCTTGCTGAGAGCGCCAAAGGTCTTTTTCTGGCCTCGATGGCCGGCTGTGACATGGTCGTGATGCGAATGCAGAACGTGAGTAAGGAACTCAGGGAATTGTGGAACGCAGGTGCGCCACAGTCCATGAACGCGGATGTGCAGGTAAGGCTCTACGTAGCGAAAGGTAAATTGGCGATTACAAAACTCGATTTGCAGAGCTTCTACCGGTTGGTTTGCTGCGGCTTTGTAGGGAACGCGAAAAACAGGACACTTCGAGTACGCTTGCGGCCAATGGCGCACATCAGGACGGTCAGCCGGTGGCTTCGTTGTGAGTGTAGAAGGTTCCGGCTCGGGGTTGGGTTCCGGCGGCGCAGAAAAAGGCGCAAACGGCGTGCTGCATCGCCGAGGGGATCGCGGACGAATTCCGGCGAGCTCTCGGTAGTTGGGAGGCGGACCACGAGAGCGGGGAGCCGCGCTCGCTTGTCGTATTGCGAGCATCAGCGGTACCGATGGTGTGTCGTGCGAGCGGGTGTTAAGGAGGTCGGGACGGCGAGACAAGGCGTCGGCAACTTGATTGCGCGCTCCTTGAACATACGTGATGTGCAAATCCGGGAACTCCGCAAGGAAGTCTGGCCACCGGGCGGTGCGTCCGCGCAGAGGCTTCGATGCTTGAAGTCGTTGGAGATGGGTTAGAGCTTGATGATCAGTGTAAGCCGTTACCTTGGAGACACGGAGCAACTGCGACCACTTGTCCAGTGCCATGGCCAACGCCAAGAGTTCCTCATCGTAGATTGAGTATCTCTGTTGCGTGGGTTTCATGACTTGGCTGAGGAAGCGGATGGGTTTGCCGTCTTGTTCGAGAACTGCTCCGATCGCATAACCAGAGGCATCTGTGTACAACTCGAAGGGTTTCGTCGTGTCAGGGACTTGTAAGGTAGTGAAGTCGATTAAGCGCTGTTTGAGCTGCCGCACCGCTTGCGTGTGAAGCTCTGTCCATTTGAAGCTGACGTCTTTACGTGTTAGGTGAGCCAGCGGCCGGGCAACGTCTGCATAGTCCGGTCCCATGAACATGCGACAGTAGTTTATGGTACCGAGGAACTGGCGCACTTGCGTTTCGTACTCCAGCACCTCTGGCCACTGCCGGATGGCTGCGATTTTATCTTCTGCGGGTTTGATCCCCGTAGCCGAAACGGTATAACGCAAATAAGTAATTGTTTGCCTTGCAAATTTGCATTTGCGGAATTTTGGGTAGAACTGATGTCTAAGAAAAATGCTTAGGACTTGTCGCAGAAGAGAAGCGTCCCCAGAGAGATCAGAATTATAGATAAGTACATCATCTAGGTATGCAATAACGCCCTGGTCCAATAAAGGTTGTAGATAGGCATTAATATTGGCCTGGAACGTAGCGGGAGCACCCTTAAGGCCGAAGGGCATCACGCGGTACGCGAATAGTCCGAGAACGGACCGGAAAGCCGTCTTCCACCGGTCTTCCTTAGCCATACGTATTTGATGGAATTCTGCTTCAAGATCCAAGGTGGAAAAATACTAGGCGCCTCCCAGCAGCTCCATAATGGTTTGAATGGGAGGTAGTGGAAAAGCAGGGGCTATCGTAAGGGCATTTAGAGCCTGGTAATTGACAACCATACGCATCTTCCGCTCCCCGGAGCCATCATCACGTTTGTCCACCATGATCGTAGAAGAGCAAATAGGCGAATAGGTCGGTCCAATCCAACCACTGTCCGATAGTTTAGCTATCTCCTGTTTGTGGAATGTGAGCTGATCTGGGGTCATACGGTATATTGCAGACCTCTCTGGAAGTTTTCCGGGCACAAGGAGAATATGGTGAGCATGAGGGCGCTTCGGCGGTAATCCTTTCGGTAACGTATCGGGAAAAACCCGTCGATACTCGTGCACCACCTAGGCAACCTCACATGGAATATCCTGCGCCTCTGGCGAAGTTATCCATTCGTCGAACAGATTGTGCTCGAGTTTTGCCATAGACCAGGGAGACTCCTCGTCACTCTCCGCTGTCACCGAGGCGGTGGAGGCCAAAGGGCTACGCCAGCCGGAGGACGTGGGTTGATTCCCAATTAACGCGCAACAAAGCGCGCTTTGCCATTCATCAGAGAGCCTTAAGGGCACTGCCGAACCGGCTTCGGGCAGAGCCAGTATGAGATGCAAACCGTGCAATGGAGTACTGAGATCATTTGTGTCGTCCGCCGCCTGACGAACGAGCGGCGTTATCCGCGCCTTCGCCTTAGTCTCCGCGTGGGACTTATACCTCCTTGGAGGCGGGCGTAGGAATACTGCTGCCTCCTCGGCTGACATACCCGCCACTTGTTTGGCCAAGATCTCGTATGCTTGCTCTGCTGGGGTCCTTGCGTGGACTACCGTGGGACTATCACGTTGCAGCGTCGTTTCACCAGTCCGAACGACCGGTAACTCGCACCACTGGCCATTCACATAGGTTCGGAGCTTGTCTGACTGGAAATACCAGGCCACCTTGTGTTCCGTCAGCC